TCTTTCTTTCTTTTTTAAAGATTTCTTAGAGAGGAATTTTTAGAGAGGAAGGGAGAGGGAGAGAGCAAAACATCAATCTCAGAGCGAAGTATCGATTGAACCTGGTTATGTGCCTGGATAGGGAATTGAACCTGCAACCTTTGGGTCCGCGGGGTGACCCCAGCCAACTGAGCCACACCAATCAGGGCCAGGGCCATTCTTCATCCAGTGGTAACTCACAGAGTGCCTACGGCCCCCTGCATTTCCAGAATGGGGGAGAGGCCTCGCAGGAAGACGTGATAAAATAATTGTACGTTGGGTCAAGGACAGGGGAGGAAGTTGAGAAGAGAGTAAGACCAGCCTTTTCCAGAGCAAAGGGAGGCCACTGGCCTTTTGCCGGGCATGGGAGTCACATGAAAGGACAGAAAAGAACACACAGCTTCCATTAAGAGCAGACAAGTGTGTCGGGGGGCGGCTCTGAAGCTCCACTGGGTGTGCCCCAGACCTCAGGACAGCCCCGCCCACCCACCCACCCACCCACTGCTCCAGGTGGCAGCTGCTCCTGCTCCTGCAGCTCCCTGCTCTGTCCTGGGCGGAGGCAACAGCCTGACCCCGGCAGACTAAGAAGGGCCACTCTGCGGTGACATGCTGCTTTTACTGTTTTGTTTTTTCAGGGTTTGGTCCTTTTGGGGAGCACACCGTGAACGCCAGCTGGATTGCAGTCCAGGTAACTCGGATATGAAGGGTAGGCATCATTCTTGGGGCTGGGCTCCCCCTGGCAACATTTGGCACCAAAGAAAGGAGGAATCTACAATGAGAACATTCCTGTGACGCTTCCTATGAAATATTTCAGTCTGACGTACACATCTTCCCAGCTGGCAGCCGCTGTAGCGTACGTGTGTTGAGCGCTGCTCTGGGCCAGGTGTTTGCTGCAGCCCAGCACTCCGAATTTCCCTCATAACTGCATGGTTCCGAGCAGTTATTCCTGCACCCACTTTACAGATGAGGAAACGGAGGCCTGGAGAGAATTATCTGAAGCCACACAGCCAGGAAACTGGAACGGCATTGCCTCAGAAGTGCTCCACGCCCCAGCTTTGTTTTGGGGGGGACCAGGCAGGGATATTGGGGGATGTGTTAGCCTTGGGGGGTGGTACCTCCTTGCAGCTGAGGGAAGAGAAAGCTGTGTATATTGGGGGTGGGGGCGTCTTTCCTGCTGTCCTGAGCAGGGTGTCAACTAGTGAGCCTTCCAGTTTCTTTGTCAGAGGGGGCATTTGGAGGGGCAGACTAGGAAACAATGGGCAGAGAGAAAGAGAGAAACATTTTCTCCTTATATAAATCAGATCTGCAGAGACCGGAGCCAAACTCCAGTTAATCCTAGCCCATTAGCTGCTTGATTTAAAGCATTGCGTGCTTTCCACTCCAGAGCCCTGAATTTGGAGAAAATTTCAAGTTGAAACTTTGATGGGTCAACCCCTAATTGGAGCGCCCCCACCTTTTTTATCACCCCTACTCCAGACCTCAAAAATCTTAGCACCTTTTAAAAAAATTATCACCCAGGGACGGGGTCCCCGGGACCCTGCAGATGGGAGCATGTCCGAGCCCTTGCTCAGAGCACCCGCTCCCTGGAGCCCCAGACAAAAAGGAAACAGCGTGTTTCTGAAGACTTGTGTGTCTGGCTTTGTGCGAGTTTCAGACCGGAGCCTTCACGGGGCTGAGTGGACACAAAGCCGTGTGTCTGGATTCCTGGGCCCCAGACATGATCATCTGCATCTAAATAGGAGAAAAATCAATTAAACAATCTTTGGAAATCCCCCCTCCCAGCTTTGGGACTTGGAGGGGGGTGGGAGGATGGCTGCTTTTCAGGCTGCTGCCTGAGGGGAAATACACCTTCTGTTTCTGTTGCTCATCTCTCCAGACTGGCCTCTGGAGGACTTCCCATTTTCTTCCTCAAGTTCATGAAACAAGAAGAGATTGTCCACTATTCCCCAGCTAAAAAGACACCAGCCTGCCCAGATCCGATTGTTTCTCTGTGTGTGTGTTTTTTTGTTTTTTTTTAAACTGGAGTGGTACAGATAACCTCTGAGTACCCACACTCGTATAACTCCATGGAATATTAGCACGTGCACCTGTACGTCACCTGCGTCTGGATCAAGGTTTAGAACGTTCCAGCCCCGTCTGCCCCTCTCAGCTACCCGCCTCCCCAAGATGCAAACCTCTCTGCTGCCTTTATTGCCACCACGTGCGTCTTGCCTGGGCTAGAACGCCGCTTGCCGTGCTTGTCCCCACTTGTCTGCACGATCCACCCAGGGGTTGCTCGGCGCTCGCGTGGGTTCTCGTAGTTGCCCTGGAGAAAAGAGAGGTGCCCATGGAAAGAGTGCAGCTGTTGGGTAGGTCCAATCGGTACCTCGAGGAAATGGGCCTCGAGTGTGCTTGGGGTGGTCCAAGTTGCAGGAACAGTTGTCTGTCACCTGAGGCTGAAGATGGGGGCTTGGCTACAGAGTGGGCGGCGTCACTTTCTGTCCCAACTGATTTTTCAGAAGCCCAAGGTGCCATCTGGAGAAGGCACCTCCTTCCCTCTCTGGACCAGCTGACTTCTCTCCCTGCCTGTCTCTCCTCTTCTCTCTTCACCTTTCTCTCTTTATACCTGTACCTCTCTCTCCCCCTCTGCCTCTTTCAGTTTCTCTTGGCCTCTCTGTGGGCCTGTCTTTCTGTCTCTCCCCCTCTCTTTACATCTCTCTCCATCTCTGCTTCTCTTTGTTTTTCTATTTCTCTTGGCCTCCCTGTGAGTCTCTCTGTCTCTCTTCCTTTCCTACCCCATTTCTCTCTGTCTTTTGCTCCCCTTCTTTCATGTGACCTTCCTTCTTCAGCCTTAGGTGAACCTCACCACCCACGGCAGGAGGTGGGAGTTCTGGGGACTGAGGGGTGACCCCACACTTTGGTCTTTCCCCAGGACGGGGCTCCTCTGCACCTCTTGCAGGGGAGGTGGATTTTCATGCACCCCGTCTCTCCCCGGTGGCCCGGGGCACCAGCTGCATGTCTCTTCCTTGGAGGCCCAGGCAGGTGTAGGTGTCAAGGGCCGGGACCCCTGGCTTGGGGCCGTCTGGAGCCCTCCGTGCCTGAGCAGCAAGGAGGAGCCGGGTCACAGTCCCTTTGACATCACAGGACAATGACTGCCACAGCGCGTCTAGACAGACCTGCTAAGGCTATTAAGCAGGGAACAAAGAGGGTCTTTGTTGTGGGGTCAAGGGAATCGGTCAGACGCGTCCGAGCGGTGGAGTCTTGTCAGGTAGACGGGGTATAGACAATGCTCCGTCTGGGACACCCGGCCGTTCCCTTCCCTTCACGGAGATGCTCGGCACTCGCTGCGAATTGTTGTGGGACTGGGGGTGTGCTGCCAGCCCCCCAGGAGAACCAGTGGGCCTTGTCGGAACAGAAAGTGTTTAGAAGCAAAGAATTGCGCGAGATCACTGGCCGCCCACCTCTCATAACTTCAGAGGAACTTAATAGCTGCTCTTTGACCTCCGTTACCCTTTTTAAAATTGGAGAATAATTTGCATAGAACGACAGGTACTGATCTGCAGTATCCGCCTCACTTCGGAGAAAAGTGTTCATGCCCACATCTCCAAAGCTCCATTGCTGTCCACCTAGAGCAGCGGTTCTCAACCTTCCTAATGCCGCGACCCTTGAATACAGTTCCTCATGTTGTGGTGACCCCCCAACCATAACATTATTTTTGTGGCTACTTCATAACTGTAATGTTGCTACTGTTATGAATCGTCATGTAAATATCTAATATGCAGGATGTATTTTCATTGTTACAAACTGAACATAACTAAAGCATAGTGATTAATCACAAAAACAATATGTAATTATATATGTGTTTTCCGATGGTCTTAGGCAACCCCTGTGAAAGGGTCGTTCGACCCCCAAAGGGGTCGCGACCCACAGGTTGAGAACCGCTGACCTAGAATGTTCCCTCCTGCCCTCCTGTCTCCCACTGCCCCCTCCACCCCCCCCCCCCCCCGTCCTGCCCCAGGGACAGCTGCCATCCTGAGCTCGGTCACCGTAGAGGAGTTGTGCTTGGTCTTGAATGTGTGGCACAGCCTCTGTGCCCCAGTGTGCCAGCTGCTTCTGCTCAGCCTGCTCTGGTGCAGGCGGGCAACTGGCTCTTTTCCGGATTCCCCCTCCTCCCACTGACAGTGGCATTCGGAGACTTCAGGGTCTGCTCCCTAAGAATAAGGCAGCAGCGGCGCTCCCATCAGGGTCTTTGCCAAGAGGGGGATGGCTTGCTATGTGTGCATATTCTTTGATGGGGGTTTTTCTAGTTCAGATTTTTCCCCCAGTTGGGAAGGGGCTAGCTCGGCACCCAGAGAACATGAGGAACTCAGGTTAGATCAAGAGGGTGACTCGTTCTGTGGCTCCCGGCTCATTTTCTACCGCTAAGGTGTGCGGGCACGTGGCATCGCGCTTATGCCGGAGAGGAGGGCAGAGAGGGTTTGCAGGGAGGGGCTGCCCAGAGCCGGGCGTCCGGCCTTGGCACATCCCATGTCATGGGGGCCACTGGGAGGGTCTCTGTCCCCAGAGAGGATCGTTTGGATTGGTCACTAATCAAATTAGTAGCATCCCTGATCTCTGCCCTCAGAGGCGATGCCACCAAATTGGCTTGCTTGGGCTTGTGAGGGGCTCAGTTTGGGACAACTTACTGACTGAGACTCTGAACAATAAGTCCTCACTCAGCCTGAGAAATGGATTCTTTTAATTTCTGTACTTTTTTCTTTTTTTAGAGAGAGAGGAAGGGAGAGAGAGAAACGTCAATGTCTGAGAGAGAAACATCGATTGGCTTCCTCCTGCCTGCCCCCTACTGGGGATCAAGCCTGCAACCTGGGCATGTGCCCTGACCTGGAATCGAACCCCAGACCTTTTGGTGCATGGGATGACACTCAACCAACTGAGCCACACCGGCCAGGTCAATTTCTGGGCTTTAAACCTATTTTCTGTTGCCAGAAAAGGCTGCCAGGGCGCAGGAAGAAGACACGGGGTAAGGCAGGAAAGTTCCAAGCAGTGAGGACAGGAGGGTAAGAGCAGGTGGGGTCATGGTTGGTGGGGTGTGAGGATGGATGAGGTGATCTACCCTCGGCCAACACAAAGCCTTTGCTGGAGACGCCTCCCCACCTGTGCGGAGAGGAAGCAACCGTCTTTATCTCCGTTCAACTAAATTTTTGACAAGTTATAAGAATCACACAAAGAAGTCTTTTTCATGCCCAGATTCCCCAATTCTTAGTATTATATTACGTTTGCTTTTTCTCTATAGAGAAGTAAATAAGAAGATAAATGTAATTTAATTTTTTTTCTTGACTTCTAAGCCATTTTTTATTGTGGTAAAATATATATAATGTAAAATTTACCTCAATGATTTTTTAAAGTTATTTTTTCCGTTGACGTTTTTATATATGTATATTTTTATTTCAGAGAGAGAGATAGAAACATCAGTGGTGAAAATCAGTGATCGGCTGGCTGCCTCCTGCACGCCCCACACTTGGATGGAGCCTGCAACCCAGGCATGTGCCCTTGGCTGGAATCGAACCCGGGACCCTTCAGTCCGTAGACTGATGCTCTATCCACTAAGCCAAACTGGCTAGGGCTCAATGATTTTTTTTTTTTTTTTTTACTTATTATTGATTTCAGAGAGGAAGGGAGAGGGGGAGAGATGAGATAGAAGCATCAATGATGAGAGAGAATCATTGATCAGCTGCCTCCTGCACGCCCCCTACTGGGGATCTAGTCCAAAACCTGGACATGTGCCCTGACAGGGAATCAAACTGGCAACTTTTCTGTGCACGGGATGACGCCCAACCAGCTAAGCCACACTGGCCAGGGTGGTGTGATATGGTTTTAGATTCTGCCTTGGGGGTCTGGAGGCTGGGACAGTGTGGGGCAGAACGCAGTGGGACTTGGTCTCCAAATCGAGTTGACAAACAAAATTCAGGTGTATCCAGCAAACCTCAAGCAAATGGTGGTCTGTCCGTTTGTGTGGCCATAATAATCACTTCCGTGTGTAGAAACTGGGTAAATGTTTATGAAATCGGGGAGCTGAAATGGTGGTCACAGATCTGAAACCTCCCTCGCTTCTCAGGGGTTTGACGGGGTGGAAAGCGATCTGGTCAGGTAGGAGCCCTGATTGCACGCTGGCCAGCACGTGCCTGCTCTGTCTCTGCACCTCAGATCCTTAGCGAATGTCTTCTCTGGTCCCATTGCACAGTCAGTCCAGAGAGTGGAGGTGTAGACGGAAGGGGAGCTCGAAGAATGCAAATACGGATGACCACGAAACATGATTGTGGGAGAAATGAAATATTTTACAAAGTTTCTCTTTAGTTTATTTTAATGTTTTAAAATCCATTTCAGCCCGGCCAGTGTGGGTCAGTGGTTGAGCATTGACCTATGAATCCGGAGGTCAAGGTTCGATTTCTGGTCAAGGCACCTGCCCGGGTTGCGGGCTCCATCCCCAGTGTGGGGCGTGCAGGAGGCAGCCGATCGATGATTTTTCTCTCATCATTGATGTTTCTTTCTCTCCTTTCCTTCCCTCTCTCTCAAATTAAGAAACACATATTAATAAAGACATATTTTTAAAAAATAAAAAAAATAAAATCAATTTCACGCAGAGCATAACCCCCACACCCCCAACTGTCCCAGCAACAGCCTGCAGCTCACTGTGCGCCAGGGTTTAGGGTGCAGGGATGCACTCTGCCCTCATCTGTCCAGCTGTGGGATATCTCTGGGGGTCCTTCCTGGCCCCACAAGTCACCGGGCTTGATGAGAGGGAAGGGGTTCCAGTTCCTGGTGTTGGCATTTGCGACCCCCCCCCCCACGCCCCCACACACACACCCATCATGCCCCACCCACCCTCCAGGTGCCCTTGTTCCCAGGTGACCTGCTGCACCCTCTTTGGGGAGCAGTTTGGAATTATCTGTTAGTCAGGAGAGGCCTGCTTTCCCAGGCGTCAGATGCCTCTGGGGTAAACTGCAGTGATTGGGTGTGGCGTTGGCAGCAGGGATAGCAAGGTCAGGCGACCAGATAAGGAAATCCAGAAGCCGGGAGGAGATGCAGGAACTCACCTGTGGCAGATTCCCTGAGGCCGGTCACACAAATGCCGCACCTGGGACCCGCCCACGGCCCCGGAGAACGCCCACTGGCAGCAGCATTTCCAAACCACTGCATGAGATCTGAGGACAATGTGAACCAGCTCGACTGATAATCATTATTTGGAGTATTAATTCTACTATGAAGAACGCCCAGGTCTTCATATTGAGCTGAAATCTTCATCCCCAAGTATCTCTGCCCCCCTCTGGGTGCCGGGCTGGCCGGGTCGGTGTTCCTCCAGCGAATCTGGTTCTGGGCCTCCCGCGCACTGTGCCTTGGGCTGGCCAGGTGGTAGGCTCCGCCCACAAGGAGTTCACGGGCAGACCCTTGGTGGAAAGCATCAGGGTTTCCCCAGAAAAGTGTGTACGCAGTAACCCTAGCCCTGTTTGTATGTACACAATTCATGATGTTCTTAGAACACCTCCTGCCCAAGATGGTTAGAGCGCCCTAAGGAGTTGGGAAGCCCCTGCATGTGTATGCTGAGCTCCTGCTGTATACCACCCACCAAGTCTATGCATAATTCTTATCAGGTGTAACCAGGGAAAGTGTAGTAACAACAGAAACAGTAGTAACAGTGGCGACATTATTTGAGCTTCGCTTGGAACTCTTAGTGTGAATTTGTTCATTTAATTCTTATAAGCACATTGTGAGGTAAGTACTTTTTTAGTCCCCATTTTACAGATGAGAAGACTGAGGCTCAGAGAGGTTAAGGAACATGCCCAGGGTCACACAGGCAGGGTTCAAACCCTAGAGCCTAGCTCCAGAGGCTGCAGCATCACACCCCTGCCGCTCATGGACGGCAGATAGAGTTCGAGGCGAGTGGGTGGGGGAGGGGATGAGGGGAGAGCTTTGGGGTAGACCAGCCCACTTGCCTACCCACTCTGCCCAGAGTCAGGACACCCGCCTGTTTTCTGAGGGTCGGTCGGTCAGTTTATTCCCACGAAACACCTTATTGCTGTGCTGCCTAATGCTCAGACACCCCCTGTCCCTCGATTCCAGGAGCTGGAGAAGCTGGGCCTTGGCGACAGCGTGGACCTGCACGTGTACGAGATTCCCGTCGAGTACAAGACAGTCCAGAGGCTCATCCCCGCCCTGTGGGAGAAGCACAGCCCACAGGTGAGTGGGGCAAAGGCAGGTGCTTCCTTATCGGGCCCTGGGATGGGCACCCCACCCCGGGATGGTGTATGGAGCCTTGTTCCTGCTTCCATCACATGCAGTTAACATTTTAAAAAATCATTGAGACGTTTTACATTTTTTTTTGGTGCCCAAACCCCCAAATCTGATCGTTTTTACACTTGACTGTACATCTCAGTTTGCACCAGCCGCATGGCAAGTGCTCAGTAGCTGCTGATATTTTCAGTGTTCACATAGTTTCGTACAGGGCCCCGTCTGTGTGTAAGCATACACACCAGTAATTGATGGTTGAAGTTACACTGTGTTCAGTTTGGTATCCTGCTTTTCATAAATATTTTATCATGAGCATTTAATCACCTAGGTCATTAAAAATTCTCCCTAACCATTATTTTAATCGCTGGGTAATTTTTAGTAATTAATATAACTATTCTCTTATAATTGGGCCTGCTACTTGTTTCCATTTTTATAAGTAACACGGAAGTGAGCATTGAAAGACTATTACATGTTTGATTATTTTTAGGCTACATTCCTAAAAGTTATACTTGGTCTTTTGCATTTGGCAATATGTCTTGGAGATCATTCCTTAATAGAACTGCTTTGGGCATTTTAGCAGCTACACAGTAGTAGTTCATAATTTATTTAACCAGCCCACACAAATAGCTAATTACGTGTTTTCCAGTATTTGATTGTATTAAACATCCTTGCACGTTTCACTTGGCTTACCTTTCTGCAGCAGTGACTATGGGGTCTGTTCCAGCAGCAAGAGGTCAGACACAGTGTCACCCCAGTGGAGCCCAGCAAGGCTGCCACCCCCTCCTTGACCTGAGGGCCCCCCTGGTCCCAGGGACAGACCCCGCTAAGCCCGGCCTGTCTGTCTGCAGCTAGTGGTGCACGTGGGCGTGTCGGGCATGGCGACCACAGTCACCCTGGAGAAGTGCGGCCACAACAAGGGCTACAAGGGGCTGGACAATTGCCGCTTCTGCCCCGGCTCCCAGTGCTGCGTGGAGGACGGGCCTGAGAGCATCGACTCCATCATCGACATGGACGCCGTGTGTAAGAGGGTCACGACGCTGGGCCTGGATGTGTCCGTGACCATCTCCCAAGATGCCGGCAGGTAGGGCACCGAGGGGCGGGTGTGAGCGGGGGTTCCCTCCTCCGCTGGCCCAGGCTGGTGCTGAGCCAGCCAAGTGTGTTGACTTTGGCCTCTGAGGGCTGAAGGCTCACCATTCGTAAACCACAGAACAAAGGATATACTCTTAACAGGTCACACCGATTCTGCTTCCGGAACTCATTACGCATGGATCTGCCCCTTCCTCCCACCCCGGTCCCTGCCGTCTCCCATCTGGATGCTGCTCCAGCCAGCTCCCTGCTGTTCCTCCTGCCAGTCCTCCCCCAAGCAGTCTATTTCTATACTAGTTTTCCTGCCGCTGCTGTAACAAAACCACACACAGAAATTTATTCTCTCCCAGTTCCTGAGGCTGGACGTCCAAAATCTAAGGGTCAGCAAGGTCTGTTCCTTCTCGAAGCTCTGAAGAGAGTCTGTTCCCTGCCTCTCTCCTGACCTGTGGCGGCGGCCAGCGGCCCTTTGCGTTCCTTGGCTTGTAGATGTGTCACCTCAATCTCTGCCTCTGTCTTCCTATGGCCTTTTTTTTTTTTTTAAATCTTCACCCGAGGATATTTTTCCATTGATTTTTAGAGAGAGTGGAAGAGAGAGGGAAAGACAGAGAGAAATATCGATGTGAAGGAAACACATTGGTTGGTTGCCTCCTGCACGAGCCCCGACCAGGGAGGAGCCTGCAACAGAGGTACATGCCCTTGACTGGAATGGAACCTGGGACCCTTCAGTCCATATGGCCTCCTTATAAGGACACCGGTCATGGGATTTAGGACCCACCCTAGTCCAGTATGACCTCCTCTTACCTAATTTCATCTGCTAAACCCCCATAGCCAAGTAAGGTCTCATTCTGAGGTTCCAGGTGAACATGAATTTGGAAGGGAGACTGTTACAGGTCTTTTATAAATTTAGGTCAGATGATGTCTCTTCCTTGCTGAATCCTCCCTAAAGCTCCCACTGCACCTGGAATAAAATCCCAGTCTCTCCCCACCATCCCCAGGTGCTATGTGGTCTGGCCCCTACCCACTCCTCCACCCTCATCTGCCTCCACTCTCTCCTTACCCATTGCATTCCAGACCCACAAACCAGCCTCCTCCTGTCCCTGCTCACTCTAGCCTCAGGGCCTTTGCACTCACTGTAGCCTCCGCCCAAACTTGCCTCCCTCCGACGAGGCCTCTGTCAGGTCTCAGCTCCAACATGTTGCCTCCTTAGCGAGGCCTCCTCTACCTCCCAGACCAAGCTGTGTCCTCTGTTCCACTCCCTCTCAGCACCTGGCACCTGGATTTCTCAACAGGTCTCACACTTCTCCATCCCAAAGGCAGCAGGTGACAAATTCAGTTGACTGATGTAGGAGTGACTGAATTTCTTATCCGTCTCCTTTTAAAACCAGTTTTAAGTTGCACAGACAGTTCTAGGCTATGTTCTCATATGTTCCCATTGTGAAAAATTCTCTTGCCCTCTCTCCTTCCCCCGAGTGACCCCTCTGTTAAGCGAGAGACTTAGATTCTGAGCCCTCCTGTCACCTCCATGTCTCCGTACGTGTCTAGAGCACTCGGCACGCTGCTTGAGCATTTTGTCCTGTTTTGCTTTGCGTTTATGTGGATGGGGTTACGTGGCATGGAGTTTCCCGAGCACTACCTCCCTCGGTTTCACTTATGGACACACGACTGGGTCTTCGTGAGTTCTCCGTCTTCCTCTGGATCTACCACACGCCTTGGAAAGGGTTGCATAGTTTTCCACCGTGTGGATAAACCACTCTTCTGTCAGCGGACCTTTAGCTTGTGTCTTAGTCTGTTTGAGTTGCAATAACCACATACCACAGACTGGGGGCGCTTGTCAACAACAGAAATGTATTGCTCCCCGTTCTGGAGGCTGGGAAGTTCAAGGTCGAGGAAGGCCCTCCTCCAGATGGCTGGCTCCTTGTATGTCCTCACACCGTGGGAGGAGCAAGAGAGCTCTCTGAGGTCTCTGTTAAAAGGTCACCAACGCCATTGACGAGGGCCCTCACTTCTCAAAGACCCCACCTCTTAATACCATCACATTGTGAATGAGGGCTTCAACATATGAATTGTGTGTGCGGGGCAGTCGGGGGAGGACGGGAGACACACACACACACACACACACACACACACACAAACATTCGGACCCTAGCAGGTTGCTTCCTGTTGTCCTATGTTATACACACACTGCAGCGAACACCTTGTTTATCTTTCTGTGCAGCTGGCTCCTGAAGGTAGGTTCTAAGAACTGGAACCGTCAGTTTGTAAAGACTGTGCCTTCGTCATTATGCGAGCCTGCCAAAGCGCCTTCCCCTGGGGCAGTTCACGTCCAGCACTGGGAGTTCACAGGTTGTTTTTTTGTGTGTTTTTTTCATTTTGCCAACCTGGGAAGGGAGAGCAGTATTCCCTCCCTCTTGAGGATTTCTGGTGGGATTGGGTGTCTTACAGGAGGTGTGGATGGAGGTGTGGATGGAGGTTAGTCTGACTGTGTTTTGATCTCCCGCCTGCCCCCTATGTCCTGCGGCTTAGGTACCTCTGTGACTTCACCTACTACACCTCTCTGTACCAGAGTCACGGCCGCTCAGCCTTTGTCCACGTGCCTCCGCTGGGCAAGCCGTACAACGCAGACCAGCTGGGCCGGGCGCTGCGGGCCATCATCGAGGAGATGCTGGGCGTCCTGGAGCAGTCGGAGGACAAAATCCACTGTCGCCACGAACACTGAGTGCCACCCGGGCCTCCCAGGCCTCATCCCACCAGGGACCAGGAGGAGGCAGGCTTTCAGCCGGTGATCTGATTCGGATCAGATATTTCTGTTTACTTACCTCCTCTCCCTTTTGATCTGCAAACGTGCTGATTGATTTGAAGGGGCTGCTGAAGAATGTTTCTGTTTCCCTTGGCATCTGGGGAGGTGGCCGTGATGTCCGGAGACCCTTGGGTGCAGATTTCCGAAGAGAATCCTGATTGGGGTTATCTCCACTCCGCGATCCCACAGCTGGGCCACCTGTGCCCCTGCTCTTGAGGGCTCTGGTGACGGGTTTCGGAGTCCCCTCCATCCCATCACTGGTTTTTCCCAACCATAAATCCTCTCCGAGAGTCTGCCCTGACCCATGTCCCCACAGCTTGGACAGCCGTGGGCTATGCTGTGACTTCGTTATTTTCAAAATTCTATTCTCTCTCTCTCTTTTTTAAATTAATTGTTGAGAGAGAGAGGAGGGGGAGAGAGAAACCCTGACTTGTTGTTCCACGTATTTATGCACTCTTCGGTTGCTGTTTGTACGTGCCCTGATGGGGGATTGAACCCGCAACCTTGACATATCCGGGCGATGCTCTAACCCAATGAGCTACCCGGCCAAGGCCTTACTCTCTTTTTTAAAACAATAGTGCTAGTTTGGGCACAGAGTAATTTATATTCCCTTTGGTTAAAACACAGGCTTTAGTCAACAACAAAAGTGTCTTTTCTTTTTCCTGGGGTGCAGCCCCTTCTGCCTCCTGTGCCGAGCACTGGACCTGCATCTTCGTTTGGGGACTGACATTGACCGTGCTTGGGTTTGGAGACTGGGGGGGGGGGGGGGGGGGACAGGAACGGGGGGGACCGGACCCCAGAGAGTGGAGACCCTTACCTTCCCCTTGAAAAGACAATGAGAATGTCCTGCTAGAGGTGACACACACTGAAAAGTGGGGTTTGGCACGGCCTCTCCAAACCTTATTTTTTTTTTTTTCTGCATCTCAATTTGGGGTGGGACCTCTGCACTGTACTCCTGGCATGGCCCCAGCCCAGGTTCGAATGCAGAGTAAGCACTTTTTTGAGTGCTAGGTGCAGCCCCTAAAACATGGCTGTCCAGAGGAGTTTGCACAGCCCCGATGGGGACTGTTTTTGGAGCAACACCCTCTCCCGCGAGAATCTGTCCTCCCTCTCCTGGGAGGCTC